AGAGCGAAATACGCAGGTTGGCTTGATGGCTCAGATCTATAGCCAAGCTTCATTGGTCATATCGTGGCTGGGCCCTGCGGATGAGGATAGTGAGCAAGCTATACCAATCATGCGGCGCCTCAACAAACTGCAATGTTTCGACGATATGGAAGAGGATCAGCAATGCTCAATTTACACAGACTTCATGAAGAAGGCGTTGGAAGATGACGACAAAGCAAAAGTCGACTCGATCTCTGCCAAAGACTTTGAAAGCTTGACGCGTTTTCTCGCAAGAAAGTATTTCTTTCGCTGCTGGGTACTTCAGGAAGTCATGCTTGCTCGACACATCCGTATGTTGTGCGGTACGGACATCTTGGACTTTTCAGAACTTCGAAGAGTCGCGCTATTGGTTGCATGGATCAAGGAGCATCGGTTTCACGAAACAGTTGGGCAAGCACTGACTCTCCCCATCAAAAACAATCGTCACTACCACCATGAAAAGGCCATTCTGGAGCTATTCCACAATCGGTGGCGATTGCTAAACCCGCCTACAACGCAAGAGAAGACATTGCCTTTTACTTTTGCGCAACTCCTGGCTTTGGCCCGCATGACCGGGTGCGAAAATCCCCAAGACAAGGTCTTTGCATTGTTAGGCATAGTACCTCGCGGGGCTTTTGGGCTAACTGCCGATTACGGTAAGAGCCCAGAGCAGGTCTATATCGAAGCGCTGCGTTGTCTCATTGATGAGACGAAGAACCTCAACTGCCTGAGTTGGGTTACTGACCTATCGGTACGCAAGTTTCCAGGATTTCCAACTTGGGTCGGAGAGTTTGAAGACAAGGCCTATCAATCAGAGCTCGCCTCCGCAAGCGTGGGCTACAATGCCACTTCAGGGTCGAAATTGGACGCCTTGACGATTGTGCCTACGGATAACCGCGTGCTCGGAGTTCGTGGGTTCAAAATTGACTGTATTGTGGAGCTTGCCGGATCATGGGCATGGCACGGAAAGCGCTTGCAATTCGATCCTCGGTGGAGCGCGCTTACACTAAACCTTCCGAAATTTTATCGGTCTACAGGACAAACACGATGCGAGGCATTAACCACCACACTGGTCGCCAACGACATTGGTCATCTGCCTCTTGACCACCAACCCGACATGGACCGTTTCAAACACGTGGTGAAGCGACTAACGTGCGCTTCGGTTGTACGCTATCTCCATCGCTTGCTCTACTACCCTAATAATGAAGAGACGACAACGGGTTACGAAAGTATAGCTTCTCCAATCCTCCGCGACATAGACATGCTCTCCGAAGGCGATAGTTCTGGCTTCGCAATAGCTCGGGCTGATGTCCGACATACGGAGCAGCAAAGCTGCACTTGCGGAGCGAACCTAACACAAATGGACACCAGCCGCACATATCTGCGTCGTCCTCCATTCAATCCCAAATGTCCTTACATCGCCGATTTCCATCGCCCAGATACCTCTCTATCTTCCATCAGCGATCGCATAGCCCGCCTCGGGCCCACAGCTAGCGAGGCAGAAATTGAGCGTGACTGGCAAGACCACAAATTTGGTGGTGCAATCAACAGAAATGGTCAATTTCGCCGCTTGGCTAGGACTAGAAATGGCTTATTAGGTCTGGTGCCGACTAGCTGTGAAGCCGGGGACGCAGTGTGGCTACTGCAGGGTGCCAATGTTCCTTATGTCTTACGGGAATCAAACCGGCACATTTCCGATGGAGATGCGAGAAGAGTATGGGAGGTAATGGGCGATGCATATGTACATGGGGCTATGCAAGGAGAGGTGTGGAAAGATGTCAAAGATCAGCTTGTGGATATCGAGCTGGTGTGATCATTTCGAATGCGCTATACGACTACACACCAACGCCTTACGACACGCCGAAACACATGCTTTACTTCCCACCAACGGAAACCAAAACCCGGCTCAGGAACCCCGGAAGTCGTTAATATTTCCTGGTATCATCAGCACAACAACCAATCATGGCACAAGAATCACTTACCGTAATGGGTTGAGCCTCCATTACCCGTACCGATGGTCTGACTTCCGTAGTTGGCCAAGGCACCTCGATCGTTGTTGCCGACGTGGGTAACTTCGCCTTTTTGCATGCTGAGGTCATTCTCGTCTCTACGCTTGTCCTTCGTCAACTCGATCATTCGCCGCAGCTCCGCCAGTACATTCTTGTACGTCTGATCTCCCTCTTTCGAGAACTTGGTCATGTCGATATGGTTCGCATCCACCGCCACTGAACCCTCGAAAACGGGCGGAGCAGCCGAGTAACCTGGAACGACGACATCTCCGAGTCTGGCCAAAGGTAGTGTCTCGTAAAAGCAGCGCACCTCTATGGCGCTATCTTCTTTCATGCGCTTGACAAGCAACCGATGGAAGTGGTCCTGAAGTTCATTGAGCTGCGGGTTCTGGCTCTGCAACTCGTTGATCATCGAAGTGTTGGCTTGTTGAAAGATGCAGGCGCGAACGATTTTGGCGAGGAAAGAGGCTATATCAGCCGACTTCGAGCCACAATGAGGCGTACCCATGAAAACGATACCACGTGTATCGTCTACCAATGGCGCGATGCTGTCGATGTTGGAGTCTTGCGAGTTGAGAAGAGCTTTCTTGACTACTATACCTCCCATACTGTGAGCGACAAAGAGGATCGGGCGATCAACGACACCAACTCGGAGGCTTGCTAGCTCTGAGCAGAGTTTCTCCGCGTGTTGCGTTGGGTTTGCAATCGATACAACATTCAGCGCCTTGATCGTTGCTGCGGCATAGCCCCATGTGATGATGCGCGCGTCGGGCAGATCGATGGGAAGCAGGTCCTTGGGCCAGAAGCAGGGTATTCGTTCGGCATCCGCCGTACGCTCTGTCCAGGTTCCTGTTCGATCTCCACCAAGGCCGTGAATAAGGACGATACTGCTAGAGATCAGCAGGGTTTCTGGCAGTAGCGACGCCTTCAGCACTTACTCCACTGCAGCCTTATCGGGGTCGTTCAGTACCAGTGGCCCGTAGGCTTTGGCTGCTTCGGTTGGCATACTGTATTGTCAGAGTTAGGTCGAATGAACATCAGTGTCACTCACCTTGTCTCTATTGCTGACGATAACACCAATGCTTGCTCAGTGGGTGCTGACACCGCCGAAATGTTTCGCTTACCGCCGCGGAGATCTACACGGCCTGTAGCTGATTTGCGGTTCGAGAAGAACTTGCGCATTGTCTCGCCTTCCATTATCGGGGAATTCAGAGAAGTATACACCCAACACTCAGCAATCAACGGATCAGCACATACGACAGCTGGCGCATCGATCGCTTGATGGTTTTGCAAACTCAGGCTGATGTCGCAAGCACGATTGCCGAAGTTCCGTGATCAGACGGGAGCATACTTTGCTATGGTCACACATCGGGCGGCTGCAGTTTGGTGCCTGTTCTGGGACGCGTCTTAGCAACAATGAATTCCCGCTCTCGTAACACATTTCTTGGGCTTGCCCTTCATGAATTGTTCATGCCGATGGAAATCTTCCCTCCGAAAATTTCAATATAGCACACGGCCTGCTCGGAGACCCTCGAAACCGTTGATAATCCCTTAAGTGATCTCGCTGACAATTAAGCATAACATTTAGCATGTGGTATGGTTGTAGTACAGGTCTTTTCTCTCGTAACAACACAGTAAATTGCTATAGCCTATATCCACAACGTGTACACTTTCCAAGGATCCTGCATGCCGCATATTAGCACTGAGGATCAGCATAGTGAACTCTCTACTCACGCGAGACCATAGTCATTACAGTCATGTGGGGCTATTTGAGGAGGCTCAGTCTGTATGCGCTGGGGCGGTGCGAATGGCTGCTCGTAGCGGTTGTCGTATGTTAAGCTACGTTGTGGTAGGCGAGTGTGAGCTTGTTGGGGTGGCTCTGGACTACTGTGCGTTGGTGGCGACGATTGAAAACCTGCCTCCGGTGAGGCGTTCAGTGCAGGCGGCGGCCCGTAATTACTGTTATGATGATAGCTTTGGTTGCTCTGGTACGAACCCCCGTCTGCATTTAAGGGCGCGAAGGAGGCCTGACCTTGTGGGGGTGAGGATGGCTGCTGAGGGCTGCTGTAGCCTTGCTGTTGGCTTTCATAACCCTGCTGCGGTGACCCATACTGCTGTTGTGTACCAAGACTCTGTGTTGGGGCCTGTGGTGATTGATGGTAGCCTGGATATGGAAGGGCTGGCGTAGGGTTTGCGTAATAGCCCTGTGCTGACATCGGTGGTTGAGGTTGCCAGCCACCGTAATAAGACGAGTTCTGCCCTTCACCAGGTCGAACAGGAGCAAAAGCTCGGTCGAGTGGATCTTCTGGTTCCGCTTGTGGGGCGTATCTACTATCATGCCTCTGGTCGGCATGCCGAAATGCCTGGACAGCTTCGAGTTTGGCCTTGCTAGACTTCCACGGGTTCATGACTTGTTATTTGCCCACGGAGCGGGCCGTGTGAGCGGGCTATGTGATTGAGACCAGCTGAGCTTATCAGGGCGATCAATAAAGTCTGAGTCGATGCGATCGTGATAATTTCCGGTCAGGTAAATCGTGACGAAGTGTTTCAAGCAGGGCTGAGCGATGCTGGAGGAGGACTCTTATCTGCCCCGCGAGGCAGCAAGTCAGATGCATATTAAATTAAGAGGTCGCTTCCAGTGAGGCTCTGGAAAGTGAGCTTTCCCGGTGCTGGAGACATGTGGCGCAGAGACGGCACGCGCGAACCAGTGGCGTTGTGTTCCGGTCAAGCATAAGACGAATGACACGAACAGTGTATGCATGCGCTGCATATTTGATGTGGGCTCCTCTTCAGCTTTCCGTTTGCGGCTGTGCATATTTTGACTTAGATGGCGGCCAATGAGAACTGTAGTATGTAACATGGCACTGCCTGGACGGGCGGGGTGTGCAGCTCAGCCCGGCCTTGTGTCACCGTCATCAAACAAATAAGTAATGTGCTGGCCCGGGCATTCGATCACAGCGACAGACGGGCACCATGGCAAATATATTTCGCACTCGCGATCCTATACTGCCAGGTCCTGGTGCACGCATACCCACTACGTTTACTCAGGTTCCTATGCAGAACCTCGCTCCAGCGGCAAGTACCCTTAGTAACGCATCGGTAACCGATAAGGAAAAGTTTGTGAAAGCCTGGAAGTATGAGGGCTACAAAGAGTTTGGAAAGTGGATGGCTTCAGACGACGACTTTTTCGTGTTTCGGCGCTTTGAGAGTCTAAATGCGACAACAATAGCGTATTTGCAGTACCGGATCTCTGAGCTCGAACGAACATTGGAGGAGATTCATGAGGCGAATGAGAAGGACGAAAAGGGGAAAAACTCCAGCTTCAAATGGGATGAGAAATATCAACCGGACCGCTTCCAAATCATGAACGAACTCTCATGTCTACTCCTACATTACAGTAAGTACCGAAAGGTTCTACAACGCGACAATACTAACCGCGACAGATCAATTTATCGACGCATTCTCCAAGATACGTAAACGCCCACGAACAGAATCCCGTCAAGTGGACTATGCCGAAAACTGGCTGAAGCGTGGTGCCATCACCGCGTCAGAAACACGTTTCGTCAAACACAAGAGCGATTTGATATCGATCAATGAGAGAGTTCGTCCACCACTAGGCCGCTGGCTAGAGGCGTGTCGTTCCCTACACACATGGCGAATCTTCAAGGCGAAGTTTGTAGAGGACCTGCATGTCCAATCGGACGCTACATCCTACTCTAGCGACCATGCCTTCGAGAGCTTCACCACACTCAGTATAATAGCCTTAGGACTTTCTATGCTACTTGCGCCTTTATGGTGGATGCAGAATGTTTCTGATAACAACGATCGGCTGGGGATTATTACGGGGTTCGTGATCCTTTTCACTTTACTAGGGACAGGCGCGACCATCAATAAACCTTTCGAGGTGGTGGCAGCGACTGCGGCGTACGCGGCGGTGCTTATGGTGTTCATGCAGATTGGGAGCAAATAGAAGTGCTAGAAAGGTGTCAAGTATCTCGTTATGACGATGTTACAGGCTGGTGTTAGGAGTCAGGTGCGTAGTCGAAAGCGAACCTTAACGGCAGGCGCAGCCCCGCCGCTGAAACATGACTAAGCAGCGAGATTGCCTCGTTTCCACATCTGCCACTTGGACCTTCATCTCCCACTTCATCGCGCAAAGTCAACCTTGTTTTCAAATCAACCAGACAGTAGGGTGTTGGCGTCTCGCAAGCCTTCTGCTGTTGCTTTCCACCTCGCTCGACCCTGGAGCAATGTGGATAGAAACTGCCAATGGAAAGATGGTTTGAAGCCACCATCTGTTCTTCTGGCGTCACCGGGCATGATGCTCACCTCTCGACCAACAAAAGTACGTGGTACGAAGTCATCGGTTCGCGTTAGCATCTCCGAGCTGCAGTTTCGAAGCGAGGAAGTCCGTGGGCCAGTCCTGCATCGCATCGCATTTAGCCTATAGTTACGGGGTGGCAACATCTGATCTGAGTGGTGAAATACTACAATGGCACTTGCTACGCCTGGTGCTCGGATACGAACGCACGCCATTAAAGCGACCATGTTGATTTACGAAAGAGGTGCAGATGAGATCGTGTCTCAATGATCAGTCTCAATCCGCATCGTGGCCTCCCTAGTACAGTTCATCTACACCTACCTGCACCACCTCCTGCAGGCCATCGTTCGCGCTTAGCCCATCTCACCAACATCGCTTCCGTATGGCTCACCAAGGAACCTAGCGCTTCCGCTACCATGCGGCCCCTTCGGAAAGCCTAGACCTTGTCAGCGGCACGGGACGTCCAGCCTCGCAGGATCGCCTACCAGGGTAGCAGACCAGGTTCATACGAGAAAAGAAACATATCATCGATTCGATAGCTGGTGTCAGGCAAACGAACGTCAGAACTTCTGCTTGGAAATGCAGGTTGGTCACATCACTTGCATGTCAGCTTCACTCGGAATGCGCCACATCCAGTGACAGGTTGGGTTATGCTTACGGGAGATCGAGCAACACATCGGATCGGAGAGCTCACAGCCTTTTCTTAGCAATGAGAACGTCGGTTTCCGCAAAACCAGCGTCTGTCACCTTATCTACGTACTCATACGTTGCTCACAAAGCATCTCGCTGCGAAGACTGTAATGGCATCAAGGAATACAAGGTCCACATATCCGACGATGCGGTGCAGCAGGATCATGCAGACGATGCATACCCTTTCATCCTCCTCAACCTTGGCGGCTCCCATCTGCATACTGTTGTATTACCTCCAACAGGTACCAGTCGACCCGACGATCCGTTCGACTCATCGCGGCCTTATCCCGGATGCTGTTACGTGTTCGCAATCGGTGTTGCGCTTTCTGAGTGAGCCGAGCAGTAGCATGTACCTATAGGTCACACAACTATTGCACAGTAAGATGCGCTAAGAAGGATATGGCCTACCCACGAGGGTGAATCAGCCTTCTAGAAGAGAAGGATGGACAAGTTCGGCTCACCACCAACACTATCGACTACTGGCGGTGAGGCGATAGTGTGCATCCCAAGCTCTCAACAGCATCGCGAAAGCATCAGCCTAGTCTCATAGGTGTTGGAAATAACGCCTCTTTTGGCCTGGAGCCAGACCTCCCAGAATCCTATCCAGTGGACGACCAATGATCTCTCGCAGGGTCGGATATGGGAGCTTGATGCACCATTATACCTGCGCCGTAGGCCGACATCGTCCAGACGTCAGCCCTCGTATCTATTCACACCAACATCTTCAAGAGATCCATAGGCCATGCAAACTTCGTTGAGACGTCCGTGCGAAGAGGCATCCTTCGTGTCAGCAGAGGTAGGCTAACGAAACTTTGTGAACAGCTAGGCATACCTTGCCCAGGAAATGAGCCTCACGACAAAGTATAAATATTACAGCATCACCCATCATATAGTCTCCATCACAGCAATATCATTAACACCTTCCACTACACTTCGCTCAAGCAGACCAACCCCACAAACCCTTCAAAATGCAGTTCACAACCACCATCGCCCTCCTCATCGCTGCCGTCAGCATCAACGCTGCCCCAACGGAGATGAGCAAGCGCCTCAACACCATCCCTCTCAAGTTCTACTCTGGCCCAGGCTGCAACAGCGGCATCGCCGTCACGACCGCTTACATCCCCGCCGATGGCAGCTGCTTCCCCACCTCGCCCATCTTCAGCGGAAACACAGACTCCGCGTTGATCCTCCCTACCGACTTGCCGGCGCTGCCCGCTGGTTGCACTCGTGAGTTACCTTGAATGAAGCAATTGGTTTCGGGATGATGAGAACTAATCTGATCGTGTTAGTCGTTGCCTACTCTGACAACACTTGCTCGAGCGTCAACAGCATCGTCTACGACGTCACTGGTCGTTGCGGTACTTTCGGTCCTAACAAGCCCATCTTCTCCGCGAGGGCTGTTGGTACTTGCCAGTAAATTCTTGCTCAAACTTGAGGATGATATGGCAAGCGTTTCTGCGAGAATGGTTTAGTGCGCTCTGATGGATGTTCGGATATCTTGAGTCAGCGGCGCCGGGTCCAACACTCCAGCGCGCGCTGACGAGAGAGAGAGGTGATGTGGTGTAACACGGTTGGCGATGAAATCTTCTCGTCACTCGTTAGCTAGATTCTTCGTATGGATGGGGACGCCCCCTCTTACTATTACACTTTTGTCATAACCAACGTTGCCCAACCTTATACACAACCGTGTGAATCTCTTTCCCATTACCAAACATTACAAAAGCTGTACAATCCATAACATGTCTAATCCTGCTTCCTCGAACTCCTCTTGACAAGCGTCTCATCCGAACTAGCAGCATCCTTCGTACTAACGACGTGGAACGAGAAGTCCAACTCTCCCACCAGCCCCTTGACGGCCTTCAACAACCGTTCAATATCCATGTGTATGCACCTCGTACTTATACTCATGACCGCGAACGCGGCGTATCCTGGCTCGGCGATGTGTCTCAAGCTCAAGATCTCGGGGTCCACCATTTCTAGTTTCCGGCTGAGCTGCCCACCTGGTGGGGCGTGTAGATAAGGAGGCAAGGGCTGTGCGTTTGTGACGCTGGAAGAGAGCATTGCGAGTAGCGATGTGATCTCATGCGAAGTTACTTTTGCGGAGAGGATGACGCGGCGGAAGTCATTGAACCATTGCGCGGAATGGTGGTCGGGGAAGGCGGCTTCTTCTGTTTCGGGGGATGTGGGGTCGGCGGATTGGTGGTTAAGGGAGGGGTGGGTGAAGGCTTGGGAGGCGTAGCCTAGGAGGGCCGTGTAGTTTACGATGCTGATGTGTGTTGTTAGTCATGCTCAATCCATTACCGTGCTGCATTGTTGCGGGTAATACGTACTTCTCGACGTAACCAATGATTTTCTCGTACTCTTCTTTGGGAAACTTGCCTCCAAGTGGGAACTCCCACTTGACAAATCCGGCATGCATCTTCAGTCCTTGCAGGGTGAGCATCTGTTTGGCGAAGACCTTATTCCGAGCCTTGACGAGCTGGTAGCCTGGACTCTCTTTGTCAGTCTCTTCGTCGCCGCCTAGCTCACCGCGGATGCGGCCCATGACCTGTTCGTGCATGATGCTGTACATATTTGCCGAAAGGTATAGCGCGCCGCCAAGTTTCTGTCGGAGCGCAGAGTGCTCGGTGATGGGGTAGGGAAATATTGTCCAGAAGAAGGCGACAGCTAGACCACCGACCACAGTGGCAAGACGGTAGGGGCCGAGTGTGTAGATAGGATATGCCGGTTGACCCGTCGTTGCTGTTGCGGCCTGCTCTCCGATCTTACGAACTTGGAGTTCATAACCGACGATCATAGTAGCAGTGACCACACTGATCATTCCGACGATGACGAGATCCATGCGTTTTAATGGGATGTAGAAGCCGATTGCGACGAAGAACCAAAGGAAAACCAGGATACCCGCAGTCTGTTGCCCAGGGATGTACCAAATGAGCCAGGCTACTATCATTGCGACGGCTGTACCTGCGATCCTGAGTATGAACTGGAAAATTGATTGGCCAGCTGTCGGGGTCATAGAGATGGCCACCATGATCAGAGCCCAGACCAAGCGTTGTTCGACGAAGAACTGTTGCGTTGGACGGAGGAAAGCGACGACGGCTATACTCATCGTCGCACACGCAGCACGGAAACCAAAAGCCGACTCATCACTCCGCAGGAAACGTGAGATGCCACGTACACCATTGCCAAACTTCTGCCACGCGTTTGTAGGCGGTAGATGCTCGGGGTCTTTCTTTTCTTTGTACGCTTCACCCATATAAACTGTCGTGTTGCTCCTGTCGAAACCGGCAACTGTCGTCTCGTCGTCGGAGGTGGAGTCCTGGCTCGCGAAGATGCTCTTCGCCCATTTCTTGAAACGCCGTCCACCAGGCCAGATGAACTTGCTTTTCAAAGTCGCTTGATCGCGCTCATCTGCGAATTTGACGAATTCGATCACGGACCGACTTATGGAGTTGAGTAGGAACAT